TTGTATATAGTTTTTCTTTTGTTAGTTATAACCTTTTGCTTTTTTATTAAAATAGAAAAGGGGAAATATGGTGGTATTTTATTTGTACTGAAATGTGATTTCAATTTTATGTTAATAAATAAAGTTGCCTTAGGGTCAGGGCTATTAGAGCCATAGCAAGAGCGTGGCAGTGGTGGCACACACCTTTAATCCCAGCACTTGGTAGACAGAGTTAGGTAAGTCTGTGTGTTCAGGGATACAGCCAGCATTGGAGACACATGCCTTTAAGTCCTGGAGGGTGGTACTTACAGGCAGTGACAAGGCAGTCACGTGATTGGGTTTACAACCAATGAGAAGGCAGAACAGAAAGACTTTATCAAGACAAACACACAGGAAGTAGGTCTCTTTCAGAGAGCTAGGAGCACCTCAGGAGGAAGGGTAAGGTTTTAGCTCTGAGCTCTGACCTCTTGGCTTTCTCTTTTAAATTGGTTCTGTGTTTCTTATTTAATAAGTCAGTAGGTTACATCTACACTTTAGTGTCTGTTGAGTTGATACTTCAAAGCTAGAATGAAGCCACTTTTCCTTAAAGGCAAGGAAAGACTCTTGAGGATTCTACAACCAGGATGGAAAACTGTGTAAATCTCTCTAAACTGAAATACATCCACCCTCTGACCTAGCTGTTATCCAGAGTGCTTGTGACTCCTGGAAAAAGTAGTGGTTGTACAAGTTCACCCACTCTAACAATGTTTCAGTACCTAAAAATTGAAATAAATGATGCAGTCACTACCAAAGACCTTATTGTGATACATCTTTGTACTGAAGTATGGTTCTGTTTTTACCCAGGGGTAAGGGGAGAAACTCTGTTCTTACATGGACTGAGATGTAGATGACACTGGTGAGAAGTTTGCCAATCACAGCTGGGCCTCCATGTTTGAATTTGGGGAGCATCTGATCTCCTGAGAAATTGACAAATGGAAATGTTCTTTCACTCGGTAGTGGCTGAGTTTAAGAAGCTTTGATTCAAAGCCATAGACAAGGCTCAGTGGATCAAGATTCTGGCTGCTGAACTTGATCACCTGAATTAGATACCCAGAAATCACACAGTGTAAGGAGAGAACTGACTCCCCCAAGTTGTCCTCTGACCTCTAGATAAGCACTCTGCATGAGAACAAATGTACACTCACTAAATACATATATAAATGTATGTAAAACAATAACAGGCTTAGATACATCTTTCTCTGTGCGACTGTCTCCTTGGTGGAGACAGTGTCTTCATCTGGTGCCTCAAAAGGTTGTCTTGGAGTCATATCTAGCCTCTGGGCCAGATCCACATATTAACTAGACATGGGATCTTGGACAAGGACATGGCCATACAGACAGATCTCACATCATTAAAAGGGTTGGTTGGATTATCTTAATGTCATTCCTGTGCGTAAAATCTGAGAATTAATATATGAAAAGAAGACTATGTGCATCTTTCAGAAATCCAAATAAGCATCTCCCTGCCTAACCTGAGAACCCTACATCACCCACACAGTATCCATCTCTGGGCCATGGCTCAGCTCCTTTCAGTCTTCATGTCTCTGATGAGAGTAGGTCATCTTTGGTACACAAGATTTCCAGACAGGCCCACGGAAAATGCAGAAGCTCTTTTCAGTTCCTCTACCAGGACTGAGGAAGTTCACAGGAAACCTGAGTGTTCCAGGATATTTCTGTGTACTGTAGATGAAGAGGAAGTGGTAAAAACACCCTGCCCCCCATGTACTGACATAGTTCCTCACAGAAGGGAAATACGGGGCTTTCATGGAGATGAGATCCTGACTTATATACTACTTGACATTTTCATGTCATCCAAAGTCGAGACTGTCACAGCAGGCACTCAGGGCTTAGAGCATTAAATAAAGACTTCCCTATGGAGGAAAAGTGCTCTGTGAGGAAGCAGGTCGTATCTGATCCTGTCACTACATAAGCCACTCAACTGACTGAGATCTTGTCTGTGCACACAGAGGTCTGGATCAGACAGGGAAAGAGTAGGACTGTGGGGCAGGGAGACAAGGCAGATCAGATATTCCTCCCCTAACCAGAAGTGGAATCTCATTATTTGGCAAGTCCTCTGCACCTCTCAGCTTCCCTGACCCATCGTGGTGAAATCAGTTCATGAACATTAGCACCCACCCCTCACTCCTGCCTCTTAGTTGTTTTTCACAGAAGGATGGGCAACATAACTGCTGCCATATATTGGACATAAAGGAAACAACAGTGTACTCACCCACAGTCAGTTTGCTGTCTGGCTCAGAATGCAGCTTCTTGTTTTATATAAGTGCCCCTTCTGGAACTTCACACAGTAGGTACGACTGTTTGCATGGGGGATGTTGCTGATTCAGATGGAAAAGTCCAGGTTGTTTCCCAGCATTTGTAACTCTGGGAAAATGCTCTCCTGTGAACCTGTATGTTATCTCCCAGCCGTGCGCACACCCCTGAACAATCCCATGTGCCTCCAGGATTCAAAGGAGTCGCAGTGCACTCAGAGTGACGACTGTCTCTCCAGCAGCAACTGAACCTGATTTCTCAGACTGAATCACCTGCAGGTCACCCGGAGGAGCACTCTGCACAGGAAAACACCAGCTAGTGCTCATCAGTTTCTGGCAGGAACCTGCATAATCCTCAGACTAAGGCTGTGCACTTTGCACAGGTCATCACGTACACCCTCACAGGGATCACTTACTGAGTGTAGCACAAAGGAGGAAATGGAAATACAAAGTAGCACCACCCAGACTCAATTCACTGTGACTATGTCTGCAAGTATATACAAACTAGTAAAATAAAACATGCACCGGTTCTGTGTCAATCTAATTGAAATAAGTCTCTATTGTCCCACAAAGATTTGTAGCTTCTTAACAAACACCATAGGACAAAAATGCAAGTGCTGGTGTGCTCAGGAGGATAGCATTAAGTAAGCAACCTAGGCAGTTATTCAATCAATAAACAAGCAAATAACAACAGTAACTGTAAGAGGTCATAGCACCAGCACTCCAAGCTTCTATAACAAATGATCTCAAATATATGATTCTATATTTTACAAGATATGCTGGATAACATTTAATCCACTTAGCACAAGCTAGTGTTATCTGGGAAGAAGGATTCTCAACTGATAAAGTCTACAATATTTGCTTGTAGGCAAGACTGTATTGCATTTTATTGATTGATAATTGATGTGATAGGGCCCACCTCTCTGTGGGCAGTGCCACTCTTGGGCAGGTAGCCCTGCATGGTATAAGAAAGCAGATTGAGCAAGTGATGGGTAGCAAGCCAGTAAGCAGCATTTCTCCTCAGCTTCTGCTTCAGTTCCTGCAGTTCTGGGCTTTTGCCTTGAATATTTGCCATGGTTTCCATTGATGATGAACTGTAATAGAGTGGTATAAGCCGAATAAATTATTTCCTCCACAAGTTGCTTTTGCTCATTGCTGTTCATGTAATGGCAATTCATTTACATCTCCACTTCACACTGTTAAAAGCCACTTGTCAATTCTAGTGTACCCGAGTTGATAAGATCCACCCCCTTTTGCCAATTGTCCCAGTTTAAATTCTGTTGCTGTGATAAAGTACCCTGAGAAAAACAACTTAGCAGAGAGAGGGTTTATTTTATCTCTCTATTTGAACTTACAATCTGTAACTGCAGGGAAGTCAGGGTGGGTGACAGGCATTTGAAACAGCTTGTCATATCACAGTCAAGTGCAGAGAGAGAGCATGAATGCATGTTTTTGACTCCTCAGGCTACTTTTTATGTTCTTTTTATATTTTCCAGGTCCCAAGTATGGGATGGTGAGCCCCCCAGTGGAATAGATCTTTCCACATCAACTAATGTCATCAAGACAGTCTCCCACAGACATGACCACAAGACAATCTAGAAATTCTCTCCTTGTGACAACTTTGAGTGATTCAAAATAGTGATTCAATATCACATTTACCATGTAAACCATCTCATCCCACTTATGATGCCCACAAAGCATTTAGAGATCTTCATAAACTAGTTTCTTTTTGTCCACATTCAAATGTAAAGTAGATGACCAACAAAACTTTTTAAAAGCTTGACAACAAATATCTCATTTAAAATGGAGATCTAACTTTTATGAAAACTATATCTCACAGAGGAAATATATCTCTACAGATTCCTTCCAATTTCTTACTAGAAGTAGCCTCATTTATCCAATTTTCATCCAGAGATCCAGCAGCAAACCTGATCATCACTTGGTCATCACTGGGAGAACTTCTCATGTGCTCACCTCTTTAGTATGGTGTATATTCCCTATTTCAATAAATTAAAATGTGAATAATGTCTGTGAGTTTCAACTATTTATTATTTCTCTATCATAATAATCTCATTTCATGTATACTACTTATAGTATAATGCATTCAATAAACACCTAACAAGGTTGAGGGCTTTCCAGTCCCTGCATTGATTTGACAAGGCAGCATTGACAAGTATCAGGGCATATATAGAAGAGACTCACAAATATAGAAGCATTTTAGTTCATTCTCAGGATCAAAGGAGAGTGAAAAAAATTCTGTTTTGTCTGTTATGGTGGTTCATGATGTATCCTGTCCTGTCTGTGGTAAGCTGCTACAAGAATGTTCTGAAATGCATTTGGAAGAATCCATTGTAGGGTTTCATATTTCATGACAATCCTGTAATGCAGCTTATTTAGTATTGTTGATACAGTATCCTAATCTTTTATTGTAGTATTAGAAACCTAAGTGTTTGTTCTGAGGACACAGTTATTGTAAAATCTAAAGAAATCTGACATGATTTTAGGGATGTGCTCAATTTTCTATCTTCTTCATAGAAATCTTTAATGTTTAGCTTTCTTTCTTTAAAAAAAATACATATTTATTTATTGTGTCTTAATGCCAGTGTGTGTGTGTGTGTGTGTGTGTGTGTGTGTGTGTGTGTGTGTTCACATGCCAAAATTAGGTGGAGGTCAGAGGATAACGTTCATGGGCCAGTTCTTTCCTCCATCATGTGGGCTCCAGGGATCAAACTCAGGTTATCAGCCTTGGTTGATGTGCATTTAGCTGGTGAGCCATCTTACTGGCCATGGTCAGAGTTCTTGTTTATGGCCATGGCTTTTTGGACCACCCTCAATGTCTTAGACTGACTTAAATCCCTGAATCCGTATTACTTCAATAGTTTAAATTCCTTCATACTTCGTTACTTTTATTCACTCGACCAAGTGTCTTTGTATATTCTTTTTTGTTAGTTTTTACATCTATATATCTTTTCTGGTGTAGTATTTTGTCAGGAAATTACTATAATTGTTATTTTTACTGTTTGATTCTAGTAAATGTTTGTTTCTTTAGAAGAGTCTTTCATCAGAAATGCCTTTTGCAAATATTTTCACTTTTGGTATAAGAATTGACTGTTTATCCTCCATATCTAAGATATAGTACATGCTATAAATATTTAGTATGCTGGACATAATTAAAATTCAAACTTTTAGGTTGGAGAGAAGGCTTAACAATTAAGATCACTTGCTGTAAAAAAAAAAGGACAGTAGTTTCAATCTGGCACCCATGTAATAAAACATACATGCCAATGTATATCAGTAACCTTAGGACTTAGGAATCAGATACAGAGGATCTGTGAAGTTTGCTGTCTGTCAGGCTGAATGAAAAGCATCATCTCCAGTTTCAATGAGAGGTTCTTCTTCAAAGGAATAAGACAGAGAGTTATAGAAGAGGACTCTGAGATGCTATGCTGGCCTGAACATGTGCACACATGTAACAACATAAGATACTCATGCACATACATACATATACTACTGACTCACACACATTTCCCCAAATAAAAATTAAATAAAATTTTCATTTTTTGAAGGGCAAAGTCATGGAAATAAAAATACAAGCAACACATAGGGAGTGTATTAGAAGTATCTGTTATTTGTGTGTGTGTGTGAACATAGAACTGATCTCAAAATACAGCTTTGAAAGAAAAGTCTGTACATTGTTTATAAAGTCATGGCAATAGCCAAGGTTACCTGGAGCTCACTAACGGTATCTTCTAGTAGTTTTATAATGAAGTCTTGGGTAAACTGAGTCACATTTTGTGAAAACAATGACTCTGCCGTAGACATTTGTTGCATCTGCTCGTCTAGTTTTCTTCAGCATTTGTTTGAATACACTGTCTTTCCTCTGAGACAGAACATTTACTCCTTCATGAATGATCACCTGTTTGTGTTTCTGAAATCTAGATTCTGTTCTACAGATCCAGTGCTTCTCATCCATCCTAATGCTGTGACACTTTAATAAAGTTCCTCATTTGTGGTGACCCCAAACCATAAAATCATTTCATTGTTACTTCATAATTGTAATTTCAGCACTGTTATGAACTTTGATATAAATATCTGATATGTGGAATGTATTTTCATTGTTACAAACTGACCTAAGGGGGTCAATTTTAATGTGGATTTCAATAACTGATCTGTGGATTCTTTTTCTCTACTACTATGATGTTAACTTTTCAAAAGGAATCAAAGTCAGATACTGCCAAGTGCTAGACTGTTATTTTCAATATTGCTTTGGATATTCAGGGTCTTTGGAATTCCTCTTGTGAATGTTGAAATCAACTCATTAATTTCCACCCAATAACCTCTGTTGATTGGGAAAGCACAAAGCACTGTATCAATTTTTTTGGTTTTTCCATATATGTCAAGTGGCTGATTTCATACACTTATATCTAAATATTTCATTTGGGGATATTAGTGGTCCCATTATTTTTTACACTGGATACAAATAAAACTGGTTTTTCTAAATTCATCTCCTACTCACCAATTTGATGAACTAGCTTTTTTTCTTAATCTGTAAGACTTGCTTTCTGATAGATTCTTTTGAATTTCATGGGAGAAAATCATATTTAAGTGCATAGTTTTATTTATTCCTTTCTAAACTAGAAGCCCTCCCAAGCTTTCCCCTTCTCTTCTAGTCTTGTCTAATACATGTAGTGTGAGACTAATGGACATAGACTTGATCAGTGCTGCATTAGAGAAAAAGATTCTTCTTGGAATTGTTAAAACTAAGAGTGAGTCCAGATTTCATTTCTCCACATTTCTCCACTTCTCTTCCCCATGTCCTCTGACTGACTCTAACAAAGGGCTTGCCTTACATTTGTTGAACAGCACAGAAAACATGGTATCAGAAAGAAATGAGATTTTTTTTTTTACTTACCTAATTTTACTAGCCTTACAAGGAAAAAAATTAGTGAACCCCACTGATCTGGAATAGAACTCAAAAACATTCAAATGTTATCTACCCATATCCACAAGCTGCTTCCAAAATTTATGGTGGTTGTTCATTTTCCTTAGGGTTGCTTTCAATCTATTGGTTATTTTCAGCAACTGATTCCAACAACAATAACAACTCTCTCTCTCCTAGGTCAGATATATGGAAAAGTATATAATTAAAATTAAAGTCATGTCTCTAGATCAAGTTGTAAAATATGCTTATACAGGAAGTTCAAGGCATAGTAAAGTTGTTTATTGTGTTCCTTTAAAGCAAGTTAAGTGGGCTCAATACATAGTTGAATTTTGTGAAATTCATTTTCTGCACAAATAGACATGATGTATGGTTTTCTTTAGCCTCTTAATATACAGGATTACAAAGGCTGACTGGTCTTGAAATTCTCTTAACTGAAATAAACACAATTGGCTAAG